ATAAAAGAAAGAAGAATAAAAGAAGAAGAAAGATACAAAGAATTAATAACATAAAAAAAGGAATAAAAAGACAAGATAAAACAAGAAAATATAAGAAAGAAAAGGGGAATTTAAAGAAGTAAATAATAAGAAGAAAGAAAAAAAGGAAATAAATAGACGAAATGATTAAATCAAATAAGAAGTTGTAAAAGAATTAAGGAGAGTCATGAAGAGAGGAAATAGAAGAAGGAAAAGGATGAATCGAGCCAACAGGTTTTTCATTTAAATCGATTCTAGCAGGATTAACACGCATAACATCCCGAAGAATAATACGAGCTGTGAAATCAATACGATCGAAATCTTTAATAGGATAATGTTGAAGTAAATTTAAAGTTAGTTCAAAATTACCAATTAAACATTCAATTTCTAAAATCATAGAAGCTAAAAAAGCAAATAAATATCTCAAACCTCTAATTTCACAAAACATTTTATCCCACATTTTAATTGTTACATCCATAGGTAATTCAGAAGCACCAAGTAATGTTAACCATCTAAATAAATAATAAGAAGGATCTATTAATGTATTAATTGTATTTGCAAGTCTTTGATTTTTTTGTTTAACACAATACATGACTCTTCCCATTGCTGCACGTATTCCTGTGTTTGTCATATCTTTTGTACTATCAAACCAATCTCGAATGTTATTTAATAAATTATACATACAAAATAATGTTGATACTTCTGCAAATTCTTTTGTTGCTGCATCTGATGCATCAAGAAATACATGATAAAATACATTTGCAATTATATTCAATCCTTGAACATATGGAATTCCTCCTTGCATATTACTTAAAATATTTAATATTCTTCTTAATGCATTATTATATTCTTCTTTATGTTCTCCATCATTTGTTCTTGCAAGATCTTTGTCAATTATTCTTGATAATTTTTTATTTTTCATTTCTTTCTCATTTTGCTTTTCTTCTCCTTCTTTTTTCTTTTCTTCATAATACTTTTCTTTTTGTTTTCTATATATCAGTAAATATGTTTCTTCACTACTGACCCATGTCTTTTGTTCTGCTCTATAATATCTTAGTAGTAATTTCCATATTTTAGCTCGAAGTTTGTTGTTGTTTGGTATTCCACTTTTCATCACTTTGACTCGTAACGCTTCAATGTCTACAACAGGCTCTTCTATGATACAATAATACTCATACACTTCCTTGCTCATTCTCTGTTTCTTTCTTTTTTTTTAGTTCCTCTTTTTTCTTTTTTATTCTTATTCTTTCATTTTCTTTCACCTCTTTCTTATTCTTATTCTTTCATCTTATTCTTATTCTTATTCTTTCATCTCTTTCATATTCTTTCATTTTCATTGAAACTGTTGTGTCTAAATACAAGAAATGGAGAAATGATAAATCATGATGAGAAATAAGGTGTGGAGAAATTATTTAACATGAATATCGTGTGAATGTGATGATATAAATGAGTGATATGATGTAAAATTTGAAGTGTGAATTCAATGAAAGAGACAATAGTTCATTGTAAACTCATAAACATGGCACAAACTATTGAGATAATATTCTGATGTACTTAAAGTAGTTTAATCAACAATCAATGTATTACAAATATGTTTCAAAGACGTAATAAGTGTAGTTAAATGATTAGACAACATTCCAACATCAATATACAAGTTGGATGTCATGCTTTTATACTATAACTATAACTATAATATTCATAGTCATGTCATTATCAGGTATTCTTTTGTTCATATGACAACATATGAATAAACAGACAAGATATATCAACAATGGATTAAATTCTTAACAATGTGTTTCATAGTTTTTCAATACAAAGTATTTGTTTAAATTAATCAAATAATCTGTTTGTTATAATTTCAATTTGTATATAATTACAAGAGAATGTATGATGATTAACACATTGAATAGATAATATTTAATAGTATAGAATAAGAAAATGATATTAAAAGATTTTATGAAGAAAATGAATAAAAAAGTGATAATGTTATAGAATGAGTTTATAATGTGTATTTTCTATATTTTATTCATTATTTCTTTTTATTTACTTTTATTTCTTATTTCTTTTTTTTTTATCTTTTCATCTTTTACTTTTATTAAATATGTAATAGAGTTAATGTATCATTTATTATTCATTCATTCATTTATTATATATTTAACAATATAATTGAAATTGTCATCATTACCATTATATCATTATTTTACATATTTAAAATCATTGTTAATTTTTATTCATTTCATATGTTATTATTTTTATCATTTATAACATATTCATGATATCCATTTTGTATTTCTATTATTTTATTGTATTTTCAATGTTTTCATTTTCAAATACATTCTATTAATTCTTTTCCCACTTTCATTTATTCATTCATTTCATTTATTCAAATTTTCTTATTGAATAGAATCCACTCTTATGAATATTTTAGAATAAACAAATTTCAATTAAATACTTTTCTTATTCTTATTTATTTTGTTCTATTTCATATAATTTCAAAATCATTCTATAGAATCAATGTTCATCAACACTCTCATATTATTACATTTGTTTTTCTTCTTGTTATATTATTATTATTATTATTTCTTTATTTCATATTTCTATTCATCATTATTTCTATGTTTATTAATATGTGTTTGTGTATTAGTTGTTGTTTCTTCTGTTATATTCTCATTCATCATATTCATCATTAATTTAATATTCAATGTTTTAATATGTTTCATGTTATGTTGTTTGTATTTCATATCTTCAATTCTTTTCTATGTAAATTGATTTCAACAATACAAGAAAATGATTTATTTGTATCTTCATAAACTCAAAAGTAATATGTTAATTACTATTGAATAATCATATGAATGTATTAAAAACAAAGAATAGATAATATGAATATGAGAAATGAATATAATGAATTAATCGTGTGTCAAATTGATAACAACAATCATGTTATTAGAATCATGTAATATTTTAATTTCATTCATTATATAATCATAAATGATTTATATAATGTTTGACATTTCAATAGTTCAATATAATGAGAAATAATGTTTTATAATACATATTCTTTCATAACAACATTCTACATTTCCATTATTTTTCATTTCTTTTAATATGTATAAATGTAACAAAGTATTTTCAATTAAATAATGAATAGAAATATACGAAATTCATAAATATCAAATGTTCATTTATTTTGAATAAATATTTTCAATCAATGTATTCAATTTTATGTTTAAGACATGCAATAAAACATTAAATAAGTTTTAATAAACAAAATATCTATTTAATATTCAGTTATTTTATGAAATATTTCATCATATTCTTCTTTATATTAATATTTCATTTATTTTTGTTTAAACATTAAACAACATTTCTTTTATTCTTTTATGATTATGATTTATTTTAACCAAATCACCGAATTACATTTATTCATTCATTTTCAACTTTTGATTAATTATTTTTATAACATATTTCATCATTTCTATTCATAATTGATGTTATTTGTTGTATTAATCATTTATATTATTTGTTTCTTCTTTCACAATTTTCATTCCAAATATTCATGTCTTTTCTGGATTGTATTTTCTCTTATTTCATTGTTAATAATTGATTTATACATCTCAACAACAATAATATCTAATTCGACTCTTTTCTCACTTTCTTTATTACTTCTATTTTATGTTTGAGTAATAAATGAATATTTTTGAAAATGAATATTTCATATGTTTCACTTATTTATATTATTTTAATTGTTTTACTCATGATATTTTGTTCATTCTTAAATCATAATATCTAATTTAGATGATAAAATAACATGAACAAACAACTTTGATTTTCAAAATATTTTCAGAGTTCAATGAATGACGATAGAATAAATATAACTATGATTTGAATAATCTAATGATAAAAACAATACATTCAATGTTTATTTTCATCATTTAACATTCAATGATATTGATAATGATATTTTATATATTTTCTCCACTTTCTTCTATTTCTTTATCTCTCTTCTTTCTTTTATTATTCAATTTTTGTTTTATTTCTTATTCATTTTATTTCATTTATATTCTTTATTTCATTTTCAACTACAACACAGATATATCTTTTCAAATGGTTGATAATTTTCATGTTCATTAGATTCAAATGAATAATTTCAATGATATGTATAATTATAATCAAAGTCAGATGACAATAAAATAAAATCAACACAACTTAAATTATAATTTAATAGATTATTTATACAAATACGTATATAAACAATTTCATATGTTTATTTTTATAATTTAATAGTTATTTTTGAAGTTAAATAGAATTTAATGTTTCATTCCAAAAGTGTGACAAAGTTGAATGACTCACAAATTGTTTCATTTCATTTGACAAATGAATAAAGACTCTACTCTGTATCTGTTGATTCATACTCAAAAATATACTCATCTCACATATTTTTTGTTCATATTCCATCTTCAATATATCAATGATATTTTTGTTTCAATGAATCTGATACATAAATTGATGATACATAATGAGTGTATTGTTTTTTCAACGTGTTTAAATAAATCAAATGTATTTATTTTTGTTTATACAAATCAAACAAACATAAATAAACAAAGATTTGATTATTTCAAATATGAAGTAAGTGAATATAATAATAAAATGAAGAAAATGAAGAAAATAATCAATTTAAAACAAAGTGAAACATTTATATATTCCATTTAATTTAAATAATTATTTTCTATAATCTCAATCTCTTTAAATGTATTATTTTGTTATTAAAATGAATGAATAATTCAATGATATAAATATGAATAGAAAATACACTCTTTCAATTCTATTCTTATTGTAATTTAATTCCATTTATCCATTTTTGATGATATTCTTAATGTCTGTTATTTCATTCTTCATTATTTCTATTTTGTATTTTACTTTCATATTTTGTTTCTTTTTATTCAATTTAACATTAACACAACTATCCTTTCTTCTATTTCAACATTTTGATTCTTTCTTCATTTCCGATTAATGTTCTTCTTTTATAATTGAATAGATTGTTCTTTTGATATTTTCAAATATACTGTCATTCTTCTTGTTAATATTCAATTCTCGTTTTATTTCTTTTCTTAAACACAACATTAACATACCATTTCAAACACTTATATTCATAACACAATATTTGATTGATAAAAGATGTCTATCATTCTTTCATGCTGATATTCAACTATTTTAAATAATTGACAAATCCACTTTTTTCAATATTATAACTGAAAAGATGATGAAACATATCAAATTTCTCTCCTGATGATAGAAAAACAAATAAAGAGATAGAAAGACATAAGGAATAAATGAAAAGAAAGAAGAGAATAATAAGTGATGAAATACCAAATCCAAGAATATAAAATACAGCCAATGAAAGAATAAGAAAGAAAGCAATAATAGAACTTTAAGATACATACAATAATAAGAATGGCTCATATCAAAAACATGAAATATAGAAAGAAATATAGAAAGAAAAGAGATAATAGAGCAAAAATGATAAAGTAAATACATCAAGTGTAATTGAAAAACATAATATGATAGACATCGAGGATATTACAAACACTGAAATAGCACATGTTAAAGATTCTAAAATCAAAAGTGATATACTATTAAATAACATTTTAGACATGTTGTTAAAAAACACAACAACATATCAAAATGAGAAATAATCAAGAAAAAGAAGAGAGAAAGCAGTAAGAAGAAAAGAAACAAAGTAAGGAAAGATAAAAGTAAGAAACTGATGAATTTGAAGGCAAAAGTGAAATGATGAAAAAGAAATAAGAATAATATGAAAGAAGATACAAAGGAAGATGTGATGAATCAAGAGATAACGTCTAAAAGAAAAGAGGAAGTAAAGAATAAAGACATCAAAGTTGAAGAAGATATAAGAAAGAAGAAATGAGGAAATAAAAGAGAGAAAAGAACAAATGATGAAGTTTATATGAAGAGATGAATAAACAACAAGGAGTGATATGAAAGAAGAAGTGAATAAATAAAAGTAGAAAAGAATGAATAACTTCAAATATGAGAATAAATCTGAAATAACAAATGAAATAGAAGAAGAGTGAAAGATGAAATGATGACAAAAAGAAAAGAAAGAGAAATGAGATAAAAGAATATAAAATGAAGAAATATATGAAAAAGAAATATATGAAAGAAATAGAAAAA